AAGTTCACTTGGTTTTCTATATTTAGGTGAAAACTAGAGAATGCCCTCTGACCATATGCTCCTGTTACTTTTAGGTGATTCCATATGTTGCAAGCCATTATCGGAAAGACAAGATATGGCTGAGGCGGACCAAGCCCAGCAAACGTGATTATCAGGTCGTAATTGCCGTGGATGATTCACGCAGCATGTCTGAAGGGCGTTGTGGGGATTTTGCAGTGGAAGCACTTGTTACTGTCTGTCGTGCAATGTCCCAGCTCGAGGTGGGGAATTTGGCCGTTGCGAGTTTCGGGCAGCAGGGTAACATCAGACTACTTCACGATTTTGATAAGCCTTTCACTCCCGAGTCTGGTATTGAGGTTAGTTTCTGAAATTAGACTTTATAGTAATCTTTAATGAACTCTAACATTTTATAAGCAACTTTTTTGCTGTAATAGCTGGTATTTGTTGAATATTTATTGATTGCTCGGTTTCTTTTCTTTTTTTTTTTTTATGTGGGACAGATGGTCTCGAGTTTAACCTTTAAGCAAGAGAACACAATAGCAGACGAGCCAATGGTTGACCTTCTGAAATATCTGAACAACATGATGGATACTGCAGTAATGCAGGCAAGGTTGCCATCTGGGTACAACCCTCTACAGCAGCTTGTTCTCATTATAGCAGACGGCCGTTTTAACGAGAAAGTATGTGCTTCGATTTTTCAAGTTATTCTCTTTTGTTTTTTGGTGGAAAATGATTCCCTCTTCTTATCGCTATATATATTATTTTCCCATGAACTAGGAAAAATTGAAACGGTACGTGAGAGATATCCTGAGCAAGAAGCGCATGGTTGCTTTCCTTCTCCTTGATAGCCCGAACGAGTCCATTATGGATTTCATGGTAAATTTATGGCATTGGAAATACATTTTTAGACAATTTGTTTCAGGAAGAATGTTGTATTTATTTATTTATTCTCACGACTCTGCAGGAAGCCACGGTTCAAGGGAAAGACATTAAGTTTTGTAAATATCTCGACTCTTTCCCATTCCCTTACTATGTTGTCCTGAAGAATATCGAAGCACTTCCAAGAACACTAGCGGATCTTCTGAGACAGGTAAATCGCAATTTTTTTATTTTAGTTTTTTTTTTCGTGTCTTACTTTGTTGTTGAACAAGCTAACTGAAGTAAGTCTTCTGTTTATTGCTTTGCTTTTGTTCAGTGGTTTGAGCTTATGCAGCACTCGAGGGAATAGTACTGTGTTCTTATGTTCGGAATGTCGTGAGGAGGCTAGGGAATAGTACTGTGTTCTTATGTTCGGAATGTCGTGAGGAGGCTGAAGGGGCAAAAACAGCCATCTTCGGATTTTGAGGTCTGAGTTGCTAGAAAATTGATCTTGAGAGAATATATTGTATATGAAGGCTGGAGCCAAAGTGAATTTGAATGTGTACTGTGTACAATTGGAATCTGCTCAGCTTTTGACAGAAATTGTATATAGCGAGAGCATAATCTAATAAGTATATATATATATATTTTGGCCCTTTTACAAGTTTATTATGTCTTTCGTAAATTTTTATATAATGTTTGCTTAAGATAATATAGAAAAAACAATTTCGTGCTAAATGTAATCACATAGCCAATAAAACTGTGAGGATTGATAATTTAGTTAATTTAGTAAAATTATTCGATAAAATTAGATGAAATAGTATCGTGAGCTAGTCATGGCCATCTGGCGGGCTGGGTCCGGGCCGACGGGTCACTGGGCCTAGTTACACGTACCCAGAACCGACTCGATTGTAGGTACGGCCGGTTCATCGGTTCCACGGTTTTGGGCCGGTTCTCCGATCCAGAGGTTCGGGATTGGTTCAACTCGGTTCTGGTTTCGATTACGGGCTTGGTCGGTGTTTATTCTAAAAATTGAGGGGTTAAAAAAATTGGACTTGTACTTAGCTGACATACTGTAATGTTAAAAATAGCAATTAAGTTGAAATAAAAATTGAGTTACAAAATGATATTTAAACTTCTAGTATGTCAATTAAGTTACTATACTTACCTTGCAGTAGATGGCAGGCAAGATTGAACCAATCATCTAGTCCTCATAGTCGTATGTGTCGTAGTTGTCTTCATTTCTTGCGGTTCCACTAGTACTAGCAGTAAAATCGAATGACTCATCATTTTCGTCGTCTTCGACAGTTAGCATGGCCTTTTGTGCCCTCATTTCGGCCTTCTTCCAATCACTTAGCAGCATTTGAGCCTCCAGGTTTTGTGGCTGCAACCTCGATTTTTGTGCATCCAGCGTATATCCTTCTTCGCTGGATGTTTGTTCAACTGCCATTGTTGATACCTGGACAGCGAAAATCTCCTTGGCCATCAAGCATAAAATTGGATAAATGTGAGACGTCTTTGACCACCAATCCAAGACGCCGAAATTTTGCGGCGGAACTGGTTCACGAGCAATCTTAAGCATCAAATTCGTTGTGAGGTAATGATCGAGCTCACTGTATCCAGTCTCCTTTGCCCTTTTGATCTTAGCATTATTGTAGTGGTTTCGGGCTTGTTGTGTTGTTTGTCCACGTTGTCCATCAAAAGAAGATCCAGAAGTAGTTAAAATAAATTTCGCCGAATGTTTCCCGAGTCCGATTGTTGTTTCCCTAAACAATTCATACAATAAAAGTTTGGCTTGCTCTACGAGCTGTCGTGGGTTAGGTCTTACATTGATAGCTGGGACATCGTTGTAACTGGGAAGTGGGAGTTGATACATATATCATAATATGTGTTAAGATGGTAGAGCAAGCCATTTTCACGTAATTATGGATCTAACAAAGTTGCAACTAAAAATGCATCGGGAATGAAAAATAATATGTTAACCATTTTCTTAACATATGTCTTACAAGTTCGCAATGTAAGTTAGGATCACTAGTAAAAATATCCCTAAAACCCCACATTATAAATACACATTGACTTACAACAAGTTGAGCAGTAGGATAGTAAACACCAGAAAGTACGTTAGTAACATCGTGAAATCTTTCTAAAAATTGCATAACTGTGTGGCAATTTATCCAATCTTGGGCGGTAACTGTGACATCACAATCCTTACGTTGAGGATTGCGAAAAAATTCCTCAAATCTATGAGAAAATACATACGTTTTCAATAACATTTTATAAGTTGATTACCAACAGGGAGGAACGTCCGGTTGGAATTTCTTGGTGTCAAACCTAGCTCTTTACAATACTTTCTCCATTTTTTTATTTCTTGCGGACGCCTATGTAAATAAGTAACTGCATTTCTAATGGGGGTGACCGTCTCTCTCAAAGAATGATAACCCGTTTGAACACAAAAATTAAGGATATGACACGTACACCGAATATGAAAAAATTTTCCCCCACAAAGGGTGCGGCAAATTTCCTTAAGCTCAGGTATAGATGCAGTATTAGCACTAACATTATCAAAAGAAATGAAAAAAAGTTTTTTATCAATTCTATAAATATTCAAGACACTTGAAATCAAATGAGCGATATTAGAAGCAGTGTGAGCATTAGGAAATCCCGTAAAAGCAATTAAACGTTTTTGTAATGCAAAACTATCGTCTATCCAATGGCAAGTAATTCCCATGTAAAAGTTATCTTGCCAATGGTCGGACCAAATGTCACAACAAATAGAAATTTTTTGGTTTAAAGCTTCAAAAGTTTGCGCCAAAATTCATTTTCTCTCACTCACAATTTTTTTAATATGACGAGTGAGAGTAGTACGTGGAACCCGAGAAGCAGTCGGGTTTAAAGCTATTTGAACAAAATTTTCATATAAATCAGAATCACCAAAATCGAAAGAAAGAGACGAACTACAAACAAATTCAGCTAGTTGTTTTCTATGGTTTTCATGGGAGTGTTGGAATAAAGTAGAAAACATACTTGTGGATGCATGGCTACTCGAGCCCGAGGCCGAGAATTGCATTTGGGTCGTCGGAATCACCATTTCGGCCGGATGATGACGTTGTATGTGTCGTGTCAACGTTCCGTACACATCACCAGTTTTGAAAGTGTATTTCTTCTTGGAGTTGGTCGGACAATAGTTGCAAATACATATGAAATGTTTGTCACCTTTTTTATCGGGCACTTTGGTGAAGTGAGTCCGAATATTTTGGATCTCGTCGGACCATCGCCGTCGGTGCCGGCCATTCGAGTGGACCGTTGAGGACATTGGCATTGAGGTTGTTGAGTTCTTTCACCCAGAGTAGGATCTAACTCATCTTCGTACGGTTGATCGTGGTTCTCCTTCTCCAATTGTACGCCCTCATGGATTTCTTCAATAGAGTGAAAGATGCGTTGGACTGTCTTGGGATCAACGTCATCGGGAAGGCCCGGAACATCCCGGTATACCGTTTGTCTCAGCATCGACGATAGAGGTCTACTCGAAGAAGATTCGCCTTTAGTTTTACGCTTTTGTGGTGGCCTATCACCAACACGACCACCACCACGAGAACTCGACATTTTATAACTATAATTGTTTTTATAAAATAAAAAAAGATAGGTGAAAAATAATAGATTAGAAAGAAAAGAATATTATGTAAAGAATTTATAGAATCGGGACCAAAATGAGAATGAATATTAATAGAAACCGAGTTCGGGACCGAATTTATATAGAATCGGACCGGTTTACAAAAAACCGAGCACAAAAAATAAAAAAATAACACTTGAACAGCTTAGAAATTTTCAGACTTTTTTCAATTTTTTTTTATTTATTTCAGACCTGCCGGGTCCCGGTCCAACCTGCTGGGTCGATCTGTCGGATTTGAAAATCTGAACGTTGGGGCCGACCGTTGGGACTGGGCGGGCCGGGTCTGACCCCGTTCCGGACACGGACGTGGACCCGGAACCGGACCCATGACTACCGCGAGAGCGTAAACAGAATACTCATCCAATATAATAATGCTACTTGTACCTCTTGGTGTACCACTTGATTTACATACATGTAGCATGATCCTATCCAATATCCCAATGACTAAATGCTTGAGAGCAACGTACAAACCATGATGCACAAAGTCCTTTCATCTGCGTCCTCACATTTCTCCGCAGCCGTTAACCCCCCGAGCTTTCTCCGTCGCGCCGGTCCCACTTTTCACATCACTTGCCGTCGTTTCTTTTCCAGCCATCCGGAAAGCGCCGCCGCGCAGCCGAGAACCCGAGCCGCCGAGTTTCCGCGAGTTGACTCATTAATCGACGGCTGCGACTACAAGCACTGGCTCGTCGTCATGCAACCTCCTGAAAATTACCCTCAAAGAGAAGAATTAGTTCAGCAGTACGTCTCCACTCTGGCTCTGGCCCTAGGAAGGTGAAAGTTTTTCAACAACTGTTCATAGTCTTTTGTAGTTTTTATTCATGTTTGATATAACAAGTTTGTGGCAATTAATCTTGTTAATTGGGAACATAAGTTGGCCTACTTTTTTGTTTGCTCTCCCTGCAAATGGTGTCCATTGTTGATTACTTTGTTCTGTTCTTGAATTCTTATGAAAAGATTGTAATTTTGATATATGTGTGTGGAGTTAATCTCAATGTAATCTTCCTTTTATGAAGTGAGAAGGCTGCAATGGAATCAATATACTCGGTTTCGACAAAGTATTACTACTCGTTCAGCTGCCAAGTCGATGAAAATGTGACTCACAAGATCAAATGTAATGTTTTTGAAGCCTCACTTTTTCTTTCCAAGTCTTTATTGCATTGGGAGTCTTGTTTTGTTAGTTAGTCTGTTCAATACATTCTTCTGATGTGCAGCCCTTCCTCGTGTGAAATGGGTTTTACCGGACTCATATTTGTCTTCTAAAGAAAATGGCTATGGAGGTATTGCTTATTTCCTTGTGACAGTTAATTGTGTTTGAGGTGTTTTTGATAGTTATCCAGCCATTCATTTGGCAATGGCTTGCAAGTCAATTAATTATTTGGGATAATTACGAAAACTATCTTCAAGGTTTATTTAAATTACAAATCTAGTAGCGTTTTTCCCTCAGCATGTGTTTCTATTTACAAATTGCATCCTCAAGAAATGGTATTTGTTAGTGAAGACTCAAAGGGGATATTTAAAGTTTTAAAAGACGATTGGAGGTTTAGTAAGTAGAGGTATATTTTATCCTCATTGAATTCGGGACTTTCTCTGATAAGCCATCATGTTGTGTTCATTTTCTCATTGGTTTTCTTTTTCATTTGTTTCTTTTGATTTTACTTTACAGGGGAACCGTGTGCTGATGGAAAAGTTGTTCCTTACGATGAGAAATATCACGCAGACTGGTTGTGTGATAACTATGGTGAGGACAATACGAAGAAAAGCAGGTCAAGAAAGTTTACAAGGAGACGAAAAAGGTTCAAGAAACTATAATCCTACCGATTTTTTTCAATTTGTCACTCTCAGATATTACACGGGAAAATCTGTGTTTTTTTTGTAAGAACCTGAATACTTTTCGAAGCCGCCTGCAAGGGACGTTCGATGTTCCAGACGAGCTTTGTGAATTACTTTAGATAAATGATGCTACAGTTTTCCTTGTAAAAACCATTTAGAAGTAAATTATTCATGTGATTACATTAAACTCTTATAGTTTGCACAATTCTGCACTTGGCCTCTAGAGCTACCCTTTTAACTTTTGACTTTTCATGTTTTTTTACTCCATCTGTAAATTAAGTAGTTTTGTGTCACGTTTTCACCCTGTGACCATCCAGAAGCTAATGGGCTCCTTGGGACAATTTGAAAGAATCAGTGTTTAAGTGAAGGACGGAGAAAGGTTACGAGGACAATGTGCAAAAAGTCGTATAGTTCAGGGATCGGGCTGCAACCTGCAAACAAGTCGAGTCAAGTCGAGCATCGACCTTGTCGGGCGCAGATTGAACTTTTTTGTTCACTGCTCGAGCTCGAGCTCGACTAGTTGACGAACCATGTAAAAGGCTGCTCGACTCGACTCGTGAAAAAAATTAAGAATGCTCGAGCTTGACTCGATGCTCGAGTTTGACCGAGATCGAGTCGAGCATTGACTTGAGCGCTAGTCGCTCGACTCATTTGCAGCCCTATCAGGGGGCTTATTGTAATTTACCCAGATTCATTTGATGCCCTTTTTTTTTCTATTTGGAATGACAAATGAACTGGGTATATATCTCCAAAGTCTTTTCAGTCACTGTACTTACTATCTTTGTCAAGTTAGGTTGGTGAAAAATTCTGAGGGAAACAAACAAAACTTTCACAATCTCCTTTCTTGTGATGTTAGCCCTCAATCTTTCTAAGATCTTAAATTACAGAATTTCTGGATAATTTGGTCAACCTGTTTCCACTAAAACTAGATCTTCTTGGTTGAAACTTGAGATGTATATCAACTAATACTTCCAAATTTCTTCAAGTTAGGTTATGTAAAGTAGTGCTCTTCACTAGTAAATATGTGCACTATCTCGGCTTTTTTGGACACGAGTTAATATGTCCACAAATTGAAATTGAAGTGACTGTATGTGACATGAGATTAACATAGCAGATTACGAGATTTTGACACATAGCTGACGAACACATCTTAATATACCAAACTAAACTTATATTTAAAACAAACAAACAAACAATTGTGTGTTATGCATCTTATGTTGCAAAACAAAACAAAGAAACTAAACTTACAAATTGACATATGATCAAAACTTCTTCCCATTTTTTCATCACCTTCACTTCCCTTTATCTCTTTGAGATTTCATTTCACCCCTCAATGTCTTACACAATTCGGTATCCGAATAAACCGCACGAGGCCTGATCGGATGTTTATGCCTGTAACCTCTCCGTTTCTTCTCTTGTCGATCTTCTTCTCCTTCAATATCCTTCTTATCCTCATTTTCCTTATCCCCACTCGATTTCTCATTGATTTTCTCTTCCTTCGGTGCAACATAGACAAAGGGTCCAGCTGGGATGTCGGTATAGCCTAAAACGGGCTGCAAGGCTTTGAGCACACGATTCATGCTGGGCCGGTTTTTCGGGTGGTGGCTAAGGCATTGATGGGCTATTGAGGCAGCTCTCTTGGCCCCCTCGGTTGAGTACTGGCCTTCAAGCCGTGAGTCCATTAGCCGGTCGAGCTTGTGATGGTCTTTCAAATAAGGCTTGGCCCACTCGACTAGGTTTTGTTCTCTAGGTGGACGGGTTTTGTCCAAGGCCCGTTTTCCGGTGAGTAACTCCAACAGAACGACTCCAAAGCTGTACACGTCGTTCAGCGTTGTTAGATGACCTGAGAAAAAAAGGAAAAATATTATTCTTCAATATTCCTGCATTCAAATTTGTAATTTTTTTGTAAATTATAGAGTGTGATCTGAAATTTAATATATCATTTATAAGGTCTTAGATTTTGTGGTGCTGAACTACAAAAACTACCTTACAAAAGTCTAGCTTAATTACAACAAAATTCCAAATCATTTTGTGCACAACTATAATAAAAACTACCTACAAAAGTCTAGCTTAATTACAACAAAATTCCAATTCATTTTGTGCACAACTACAAAAACTACCTACAAAACTCAAGCTTATTTTTTTTGTAGTTTTTTGGAATTAGACTAAAATTCAAGGGTGGTATATGTAAATAATCCTTGAATTCACCTGTCATGAGATACTCGGGAGCCGCATAGCCATGCGTGCCCATAACACGGGTCGAAACATGACTATCGTCACCCTCCGGGCCATCTTTTGCCAACCCGAAATCAGAAAGCTTTGCATTATAATCCTGGCAAATGAATGAATTTACAAAGAAAGTTAGAAAAACTAAGATCAAAACATGTTATATATAGATCATTCAATTGAATGAGATGAAAAAAGTTTTACCGAGTCGAGTAGAACGTTAGAAGTCTTGAGATCGCGGTATATAACCGGCTTATCTTGTCCATGAAGAAAAGCAAGGCATTTTGCTGCACCAACTGCAATCTTCATCCTTATCAGCCATGGCAATGAACTTGTATACCCTGAAAAATTTAAAATCTCATTACAATTAAACTCTGTTTTTTACTTTTTTACCCTCCATGGTACAAAGAATTCAATCTAGTTGTTACAAGAACACAAATTATTAACTCTTTGGAAGGGTTTTGAGAATGCTTACTTCTGAATAAGTGATTCTCTAAACTGCCCCTGGCTATATACTCATAAACAAGAAGCCTGTGCTCATCCTCACAACAGTATCCAATCAGCTTCACAAGATTTGGGTGCCTCAATTGCCCAAGCAACACTATTTCAGTCTACAAATTTCAAACAAAAACAAAGATAAATTTTACTATGTTTTGTTATTATTAATTTTTTTTTTCGGGAAAATGCATTTTTAGTCATATTGGTTTAACGTTATAGCAATTTCAGTATCATGGTTCCAACTTTTTGCCGTTTGGTGCTATAATTTAATATTTTGCTTCATTTAAGTACTCGAAAAACTGAAATCGCAACAAAATTTTACATTACAAGACTGAAATTGCTCATAAAAAAATCTGTAAATTTAGAAATTTGTTGCAATTTCAGCCTTCAGCAAAATATTAAATCACATTATCAAAAGGAGAATGTTAGAATTTTGGAACTAAAATTACCAATAGGATTAAAAATGCAATTTAGCCAAATATTTAATAAGCTCTGTTTAAAAGAAAAATGCAGACCAGCCATTCTCTCGGGCCCTGATCGCCACCTGAGTCGAGCAGCTTGACGGCCACGGGCTGGGCCATGAGACCGGGCCGGCACTTATCATCTGCAAAGCCTTTGTAGACCGGCCCGAAACCGCCCTCGCCAAGAAAATTGCACGACGAGAAGTCGTTTGTCATGAGCTTGAGCTCGAGGAGCGTGAATATGTGAAGACTCGAAGCGAGCCTAGAATTGGACAAGTCGCTCGCGCAAAAAACCGAGCTCGGGTCACTTATGTCGGAAAGCGAGATTCTTGAAGTCGAGCTTTGGTACGAGATTCGGCTTTTCGAGTCGGAAACAGGGCATTCTGGGTTCAAACAAGAAGGTAAAAATGATCTCCATGTAAAGCTTTTAAGGGTCATTTGTGTTTTTTTTTTTAATTATTAGACACAGCTTATGAAGATGAGTTGAGAAGGAATGTGTGTGTATATATATGAACACAAAGACAACTCGTCATGTACACTGATGTATATGCATGACGGCAGCAATTTTGTGGGTTGAATTGATATGGAAAGTTTCTTCTCTTTAACTTTTGTTTCATGTCTCTCTTTTTAATTATTATTATTATTATTATTATTATTATTATTATTATTATTATTATTATTATTATTATTCAAACGTATAATTATCACGGAGTGCGCTTATTGGTGGTACGAACTGAAATAAGAACTGAATAATGCGGAAGCAGTAAATCGAAGATTAAAAACTATTCAAGGAAGTATCTCACTTCCCCTCAGAGCTCTTTCATTGATAGATCAAATATGAACATAGCTTGGACTTACACAGACTCGAACTCCCTTCAAGCCTAGCCAACACTACTCAGATCTTATCAACTATTTCTCCGACCACGTCCCGTGGACTTGTTTATCCTACACTTACTCCCTAAGTGTAAAAGTAAAATATAGTTTGAAGAAACAAAGAAATCCAAAACAAAACAGCTTCAGTCCTTGAGTTTGTAAGAACTCTCGTACTGAACTATGTACAACTGAATAGAATAAAAGATAGAAAATGCGAAGCTCAAATATTGCTCTAAAAATATCTCCAAACTCAGCAGCAGCAATAAGAGCTTGCACTAGGGTATTTAAACGAACTCCTTTAGTTTGATTTTCTTCCATGGGAATGCCATATCTTTGGCAAGTAAATCTCCTCTTCTCTCTCCATAATCTTTTCTACAAGCACGACTCTTTCTTTCTTTATCTCTGGCATGCCCAATTTCCTACAAAATAAAATACCATAATAAGACCCATAATATCTTATATATGGAATATAAAATAAACTTAACTAAGGAAATAAAATATTTGAAGATCTTCCCTTTTTATGTGATTCCAGGTGCTTGTTCGAACTAACGAACTAATGCCAAAATAAAAATATCTTTCAATTATTATTATTATTATTATTATTATTATTATTATTATTATTATTATTATTATTATTATTATTATTATTATTACTATGTGGAACATTTAGGGCTTGTTTGTATACAAATAAACCATTTTTTTACTGGTTTTTTTTTTTTTAACTATGGTTAATTTTGAAACAAAATTGGTTTGGTTAATTTATGGGATAATAAAATGATTAAAGTTTGTTCGATGTAAAAAGTATGAGAGAGGTTATGAGATGTGACAAGTAGTTAAATTTATGTGAGTGAATTAATAGTGAATTGAAATTAATTTAATGTGTAAGGATGATTGATTGATATTATTTAATTATATTGAAAATAGTGGAGTTGAATCAAAGTTGAGTTATATTTTGAAATGAGATTGATTTTTTTGTTGGTAAGTTAATAAACAAACAAGCCCTTAATTAGCATATGAGTTTTGGACAGTTGAGAATAATTTGAAAGGAGTACGTTTCGAGAAATCAAAACAGACGTGATTTTGCGTTTGAGCTTGAAATCGCTGTTATAATACGTTGGTGTCCAAATTCTACCTTTTGTTAGTCATTTTGAGCCTTCTATTATTTTTTTCTAATTTTATTTAGAGTTTACACCCTTTTATATATGCCTCTAAAACATTATTTTCAATTAATATATTTCTTTACATAACATTCTTTAGTTGGAAGTATGTTGATCTTCTTAAAATTGTAATGGTCGGTCCCATATATGTTGTTTTCTTTTCCTTTTATATGTACATAACATAGGCATTGTAATTTCCAGGAAATTTTTAATTAGAAGCAAACATGATGGGGCCTTACCTTGACATTGAATTCAATTTACACAATTATTGCTTTTGGTGGAAAAGAAAGAAAGGAATAAAATATAAGAAAAATTGTCTCATGTCTTGATAATTAATTACTATCTTATCGAGTAATACTCACCTACCCATGGTGGCACATGTTAATATGTCCATCGTTTATGTGGCATGCGCATATTGATAATGTTAATATGTTCAAAAAAATGTATCACCAATGTATGCATGTCACATAAACGATGGTATATTAACATGTGTCCACCGTGAATAGGGGAACATTACTCGTCATGTATCATAGTTCTGTTTCAAAATCAGGCTCCTACTTTTGCGACTGAAAGCACTAAGCCACTAACCGAGTTTCCATGTATCATGTAATTCTTTTCTTAAACTTTATTTATAAATAAATAAATAAATAATAAAAATAAAAATTGTGTATATAAATAACATTTGCAGTTTCTAATAGTTGAGGCACCTTTTTTGCAATTTAATATATAATAAAATTTTCCCTTTTTCACAATCTACAAGTAGAATGCTGAGCATTTTTCGCAGGCTCTTGAACCGGTCGAACTGCTGATTGAGTGGTTCATAGGTAAGACGAGTGCTTTAACTGGTTGGTTCGGTATTTAATTAAACAACATTTTTAATTACTTATAGTAATTGAAACAGTAAATATTATATATAGAATTATCATTACTATAATTTTTAGATAAATTAAAATATTAAAAAATGCCTAAACTAGTTAATATAATAATTTATTTATATCCAATATATATTAAAATTTATATTTGTCATTTATACTAAAAGAAACATATTTAAACCGGTCGGCTGGTTCTCAAACCATACGGTACGATTTTCAAAATTATGATTTTTACCCTTCTAATTTTATCATTCAAATATACAAAGTCAAGTTACCCTTCTAATTGATACAAGGGAGGGTGATTTTCCTTCCCCAACGCTGCTATTGTTGTGTTGAGACCGGCAATTTTCGGGCTGAGACCTTCACCTATTTGTTTCTTGAGAGTGAGACTGTGAGGAGTGTGCGGGAGCATTATTCCTGTTACACCCATATATCCCTACCCACCACAAATAATTTTTTTGAGCTTCCAAGTTTTTTTACACAGAGCACATACATTAGGCATGTGGGCTTCCTTACTCCTTGTCTGATCTTTTTGTCTATCTGGACAGAAAGGAGTATTGCGAAGCATAGCGGGATAACTCTTTTTTGTGCTCCCATATTATTTTGCAGGATGACAGACATCTATCTCTCCTCACCGCACTGGGCAGACTTACACCAAGAGACTGGACAGGCTGTACACCGTCTCGTTGCTTTGCACCATCTCCACTGTTGTCTGTCTAGCATCCACGACCCAGAGTTATTGTTTGGCTGAGACCCGAGCCCCCTTAAGTTAAGCTAAACACTAATGAATCATTTAACTGACTTATCGTACCCGTCGGAGGTGGGGGCCTGATTAGGGACCACAACGATACTCTTACTACCGCTTTCCATGCCCCTCTTCGTGCCTCCTCGAATTATGACGCGGAGATTTAGGCGCTTCAGATCGGTTTTCATATTGCCGCCTCGATCTCCTCTCACATTTGGATAGAGTTGGACACTGTCGCTGTCATCACTCTCTTGACCTCTGGCTATCAGGGAACGTGGCAGGTTCAGCATCCTCTCATGCGTATTAGAGCCACACTCCAGTCGATTCACTTTTAGATCTCACACATCTTCCGCGAGGGGAACCGACTTGCTGACTTCCTTACTGGCATCGGGTCCTCCACCTCCCAGGCGCATCCTCTACCCTGACGATATTCCTCTCCGCCTCCATACCCTCATACGGATGGACCAGATGGGATACCATTCATTTATATTTGCGTAGTCGGTCCTACCTTATGACGTATCTGCTCTCCCGTGATGTTGACTTCTCATTTGGACTTTCCCGGACTCGGATCTGATACTTTTGTATTACTTGTTGCTGTTGCTAGTCTTTCTTGTATATTTTCTTGTTTCTGTTTATTTGCTTTTGTTTGACTTGATGTATATCATATATTGGACTTGTAAACTTGTGATTTTTCTGCCTATTTAAAACCTATTTTATATACAGGTTGGGAGGTCCTCCCTCGTTCTTTATGGGGTGTTGTTCTCGTTAAAAAAAAAATTAGCTAGATGTATCACCACTATTCACACATTATATTAAGTCAATTTCGTCAAATGTAGGGAGTTTCATATAGTTTACTCGGTATATTACTCTTACGAATTAGGCCTTTGAACTAATAAGCCATCTAAATTAAATAAAAATAAATGATTATGTGATTAACCATTGAAATCATGAGTCAAGTCTAACATCAGCAACTTGAACTTATGTGTTTTATTAAAACTAAAAAAATGCACATATATTTAAAGTGCCCTATGTTAATGTTTCCCTTTTCAAAGTCTAATAATCAATGTAACGCACTAATGACACAGATTGTTAATTAACTATTATTGCATCATTTGTTGAATTACTATTTGCATTTACACATATTTTACATTAGGTATATTGATAAACTTAGGTCCACGGCATATAAAATAATTACATAGATGCTTCTGTTATTAAACTGCCGTTATTAGATTATCTTTATCCCTAACTCAACCCAACCTAACAATTAAAACTATTTCTCTCTCATCTACCTAAACAACTCAATATCTTTCAACCAAATTTATCTTTATCTTCAACTCAACTGAACCTAAATATTTATTTTATTTTAATTTATTTAAAAATTACAATTAAGTTCTAAAATATATTGAGTGTGATCTCTATTTGTAGAACATGAAAAAATACAAATTTTAGTATTTTTTATTTTTTTTAGAAACAAAAAAAATACACTTGTCCAATTAAAATGGGACAAGTGTCCCAATTTTTGCAGAGAAGCCGGTCGCGACCCAAGGTCAAAATGTGACCTGGGTCGCGGCAAGTGGTGACCTTCTCTCTCTTTTTTTTTTCTTTATCTTATTCCCGTGACCCAATGAATGGGTCACAGATAAAAATGGCCTTAGGCTGGACTCATACTTTTTATTATTTTATTAATTAAAAACGTATGTTTATATTATCAAATATCACATTTTTACTTATACTACCTCATATTTTTAATATATGTCGTTTTGAGAAATTGCACATTAATTAAGAATATTT